ATTCATAAAGGATTATCAATTCATCTTAAAAGTCACATTCAAATTTGTGCTTCAGCAAATTACAAATAATTCCTTGTCATCAATCTGTGGGATCAAATATAATAGTCAATGTGGAAAGTATTAAAACTTTGAATGCCAAGGGTATATTGTGGTTGCATCATTGTTGACTGAATTAATTAGAGGATTCTCTCCATCTCTGGAACTAGTTATAGCAGTGGTTGCCAACTGGTGGTCCTTGGACTCCTGGCCTGTGAGGTCCGAAGATTGGCGACCGCTGATCTATAGGAAGTATGACACATGCTGCATTCTTGAGTTGCTTATTATTATTATTTTACTCACTATTTGAATGACTAAATTCCTGGTCATGATGTTTCAAAGTCAATTTCGGTCAATGTATTCAGGTTTTTTTGTTTTGTTTTTTTTTTGTAAGTTCCCTGGTGAATTCTAGTTCCTTATCCTTAGCTGAATTGGCCATCAGGGTGTACCCAATTAGGCTCAATCTATACTAAAAGAGAACATGCTCTAAAATTTGCTAATTCAGAGGACACATTTTTAATTTTCCTGTTCCTTTTTAAAACAATTCTGTTTCCCTGAAGATACAAATGAATTTCTTCAGTTAAATAAAGCTCCCTGAATATGGCATCATATTACAGACAGTCCCTAAAATCTGTTCAGTTGGTATCTCTCTAAGGAGGAGATATTTAAGGATTACATTATAATGACATGCATTGTCTTCCCTTGGGTGTGTAAAAAGCCACCAGGAGAATGTGTAAAGTTATAGAACTATAAATGGTATCAGAGGCTAACGTGGGTAGTAAAAAAAACTAACTTGGGCACTCAACTGGTATGATCTGATATGGAGTCCTTTGTATTATCAAGAAAGTTTCCAAACTTCAACTTTTTGCCAATAATATCTTTTAAGATCTTAATTTAACCAAACCATCATTTAAAGATAATTTTAAAACTAGCCCAGAAAGGCGGAGGAGAGGCAAGAAGGGAAGGTGGGGTGAGGGGATTCCTTCCCTTCGGAAGGTGCCTCCCACTGCCTCCTCTCCAGAACCTCCCAGGTGCCAGACCTAAAGGCTTTCCCCAGTGATCCTTTGATTATTTTTCCTCCCCTGGACCCATATGTTCTAACAGAATTGTAACAAACTAAAATGAAGAAAAAACAGCTTCAAATAAGCTCTCAGTATGCACCCGGGCTTCCTTTCTTTAAGAGCGAACCTAGAACATGCCAGGCCCTGGGCAAGGCTGGCCTTTTTCCTCTGGGTAACTTTGAGCGACATCACCTCCCTGGAGTTCAGATTTTAAAATGGGACTATCATCCCTGGGGCCTAGATCAAGGGATTAATGGACCACTGACTAAGAAGAACCTTGCACAGTGCCTGGCACACAGTAATTGTTCCATAAGGGGTAGCATTTATTTTGTTTTTTCACTCTAATGTTACAGCCTATTGTAATGTTTTAACTTCACCCCTTAAGCTTTTCTCAATGATATTTACAGACTTTGATAAACCTTCAGATATTATCCAACTACTATTCAGTGGTGTTACGTTATGTTGGACCTTGGGAATACACAGTCTAAAAGAGGGAGGAAATAAAACCAATCATCACAAATGGTATAAAAGGAGGTATGCTATGGAAGCATCTGAGAGGGGTGGGTACCTAATTAAAGGAAACCTTGAGGAAGTGCTATTTAAAAAAACATTTTAAATATATTTTATTGATTTCAGCGAGGAAGGAAGAGGGAGAGAGAGATAGAAACAAAAAGGATGAGAGAGAATCTTTGATCGGCTGCCTCCTGCACTACGGGGGATCAAACCCTGACTGGGAATTAAACCCTGTCCTCCTGGTTCATAGGTTGACACCGAACCACTGAATCACACTGGCTGGCAGAGGAAGTACTATTTCAACAGAGACTGAAATGTATAAAGAAATTAGGCAAGGAGAAAGTGTAGGCAATGGAACATATTGTGAAGTCCCAGAGGCAAAAGAGAGTAGGGGAAGTTGAGGGACCTGGAAGATGTGTAAAATCATTGGAAATGGGAGAAAAATGGAGATGAAGGCTAGACACAAACCTGGAGAGGAAGGCAGGACCAGTCAGTCATGTGAAAAATGATAAAACTTTATTCTAAAGGGCAAAGGATACCTGCAGTTTAAAACAACTTTTAGGATGCAGAGTAGAAAATGGATTGGAGAGGAAAAAGGCTGAATGTAGACAGCCCAGATATGTCTTTTGAATTCCAAATGTCAAGTGAAAAGAGCCCCTTCAAAGTATTAGCAGCACTGGAGAAAAACAGACCTGTTTAAAAACAGAAGAAGACTGAGTAAGATGTGGTCACAGACTGGGAAGGGTATTTTGGAAGTCATAATTTCAAACCCAAGAATGTGCTCAATAAAATGTATTTCTGTGTTTCATGAAATAAATGTAAAACATGGCTTACTACATATTCCGGGAGCAGCACACAAAGTTAAACATTTTAGGCCATGGGAATATTTATTATAACTCTACAGGAGGCATATCACACAAAAGGAATCTAATTTACTGTCAGTATTTTTGAAACCACTTTGCTATGTTGATAGAAATTCTGCATTACAGATCATCTATTAACTACCAAATGAGTTTTTGGTGTGTGTTTTTTAAATCCTCACCTGAGGATTTTCCCCCCATTGATTTCTAGTGAGAGTGGAAGGAAGGAAGGAAGTGGGGAGGGGGGAGGTGGAAAGAAGGAGAGGGGTAAGAGAGGGTGAGAGAGAGAAACATCGATGTGAGAGACATGTACATTGGTTGCCTCCTGCACACTCCTACCGGGGCTGGGGAACCTGCAACAGAGATATGTGCCCTCACCAGGAATCTAACCTGAGACCCCTCTAACCACTTAGCCAAACTGGCCTGGTCCCAAATGAGTTTTTAACACTTCCCTAGAGCTATCTTTTGGTTCTTAAAGGAAAAACAAAAGTTTCTACTTTTTCCCTACCATGATTTCACATCTCTAAATAAATGAAGCAGGAGGATATATTGAGCAAACCAAAGTATAGGGGTGGCCAAAAGTAGGTTTACAGTTGTTTGTATGGAAAAAAACACATGCAGGTTATAATTATTACTAATAAACAAATAATACAAGAATAAATTCTCAATTGTCAAATAAACCATGACTCTCTGATAACCCCAGCAAATGAGTTGTTATGGGAAAACTGTCTCTCACTTGCATACCTTCGCATCAAGCATACCAGCGTAATTTATCTTTTATTGAAGACACCTGGTCTGTGCACCAACCATTTAGGCGAAAGCTTTTTGCTCGTAAGCTGATTCCTCTTCATGGAAGACCCTAGCCTACTCATCCTTCTTATCAATTCCAGAGTCACCTTTCCAAGAAGCTGCCCCTCAATCATTCTCCCAGTTCTCCAAGCCCTACACATGCCTCTGTGTTATCAGGAATTATAGTGTTGGCTTACTTTTCTACCTTCATTATTGCATGCTTCTTTAGGAACAGAGTGGTGACTTTCAAGTCTGCATTCTTCAAGTGTCTAGCACACCGACCTAGAAGCAAATTGGATATTCTCAAGGTTTACTGATCTGTGCCCTCCCCTCACATAAACAGCTTCAAATAGAGACAATTTAGGAGCTGAATCTACTTTTAATACTTTCTCTGAGTTTTCAAAAAAATAGCTGGCACTTTGCTGAGCAAGTAGGTATATACCTGCAGCATGGTAATTACCAAAGAGGTGTGTGTCTTTTGAAAAGGTATGTTCAAGTAATTATATAAATGGAAGTGGGGGGCTTTGTGTGTGTGTGTGTGTGTGTGTAATTACAGATGCCCCCGTCGGTTTGGCTCAGTGGATAGAGCGTCAGCCTGCAGACTGAAGTGTCCTGGGTTCAATTCCGGTCAATGGCACATGCCCAGGTTGCAGGCTTAATCCTGATAGTGGGTGTGCAGTAGGCAGCCAATCAATGGTTCTATTTCACCATTGATGTTTCCATCTCTCTCACCCTCTCCCTTTCTCTCTGAAATCAATAAAAATATATTTAAAAATAAAATAAAAGTTACAGAAAGTAAAGCTTGACAATATTTGGCTACAGTAACACGATTTTAAAAGGTACAGCATCACACACGCTTTTCTTCTCTCCTAAATATAACTAATTCCACCCAGCTGGAATAAACTAGTTAGGTCTGCATGCACAATGATAGTAAAATGGCTGGAAATAAAGGTCTGAGTTTTCTTAGAAGTCAGGTGTTTTGAGTATTGTGATGCAGACTCCAGGTATACTGCCCATCTAACCTTGGGTCATGAAGTCCTTACAGCCCTGGACTGGGATGTCTTTTTACTTCACCGTGAAGATCTCATTGGCTTTATGAAGCAATTCACGAATCGGCAGCATTTCATCTAGCAATTAGAAGGGCGCTCCCACCTGTAATGTGCTAACACTTCCTCTCAACCTACCAACGCAAGCCATACAGGTTTAAAGCCTCAAAAATCCTCCAGGGGCACACCCTGCCCTCGTCCTTCTCTGAATCCCAAGTGCACTTAAGAGTCTATCACAGAACATTTAATAATTGTCCTCTGTCCAGTATTTTCTACCCTTAACTCCTAAATAACCAAAGCCTCAACAAGGGTAAGAAGAAACGCTAGACCCCAACTGCGTGGGAAGAAATTAACAACCTATGACAACACTCACGTGGCAGCTGAGAAACAAGACAAACCTGGTTCATCAAGCCCACCCTTAGTTCATCGGAGAAGAAATGTCACAGCCAACCACTTACCTAATCAAAGGTACCCACCAAGGATGTATGTAAAGATCTCCTGGCAGCTGTGTATGGGGTGGGGTGGGGAGGTGTGATCCTAACCCCCTCAAACAGCAAACAGCAGCTTTCCTTAGTTCACCCCACTTTCTAGTCTCCCGATTACCACCCCTTTAGACACCGTTCCCTTCGCCAGGTGGCAACGACTAAGTCCAAAGGATATGGCATAACCATTGCCCCCTCACCTAGGAGACTCACCAGCTTCATATTGGACTTTTGGTTGTTCCACAGCAGCCACTGAATTCCTCAAACCCAGAACACGTCTTCCGGTTCAAGATCCGCCGCTCGCCCGAGGAGAGCATGGCGGGACTTGTAGTCTTTCTTCCCTGCGCCCCCTTCCCGGGGCCTCATGGGAAATGTAGTCATGCCTCCACACATCCTGAGAACTATTAGTTATCTTTCCTTTTCCTCTCGTTTTCTCTCTAAACACCTCCTTCCCTCCGCTCAAATTCATCCCAGCGGCTAATTCATCCTGCCTCTCCACCCCAGCGTTATATCATGCCCACTGTCTGGGCCTGGTACCCATGGTATTCTGGGATATGTAGTTCCCACGGCTCTGGCGCCCCTTTCCCCGCCTCCCAGTGGGCGCGCTCCTTGCCGGGAGTTGTAGTTCGCCGGAGTCTCTGGACGCAGGGTCCCTCACTTTTACTCAGGGGAGGCAGGAACTACAACTCCCAGGGCCGCCCGGCTGCAGCAGGTGGGAGCGGGGCTGTTGATATCAATATGGCGGTTGTCAGCCAGACAAAGACAGTCAGTCTGATGTGATTGAGACAAGGGAGGTTTTCAGGGGGGAGACTGGGAGATAGGGGCCTCCCCTCCCCCTCCTCCTCTTCCTGCGCGGACCTCCACCCCTCCCCAGTCCGCTCCCGACCGGCTCCCCGCGCGGAAGACACCCCTCCCCCTCCCGCTCTCCCCTCCTCCCGGTCTCAGCCCTTCGCACCGGGACGTTGGGGAGGGGGCTGTGCCGCGCGAAGAGAACTCAGCAACGATTCCGAGGTGAGTCGAGCGGTTTTAAAGCCGGACTTCGCCTCGAGTCTCTTTTTTCTCACTTCTTTCTCTCCACTTTTTTTTTCTTTTTTTCTTTTTTTTTTTTCTTTTTTGCGGGGGTTTTGGGGAGAAAGTGAGTGGGCTGGGGCTGGGTCTCCGAAGCGGCCGGATTGAGAGGAGGGAGGAAGCGGGGGGCTTCCGAGTGGGTGACCCGGACGCAGGGTGCAGGGTTGGGGCGGGGCAGTTTGTGGGGGGCGGTCATTGAAAGGCGTCGGCTGCACCCCAACTCTTCCCCTCCTCGTCTCCTCTGAATCCTGGAGGGGCGGGGGTCCCCTCCTTGGGAGTTTGGGAAACTGTTAAGGTGAATTGGAGGCGTGTGGGCTGGTGTGTGACTGTGGGTTTAAAACTGGGTGACGTGCACTCGTGTAACATGTTCGCTTGGAACACGGGTCTGGCCACAGGAAGTTGGGCAGCCGGAGTCCTGGCCGTGCCCTGGGCCTGGGCAGAGGGGCGAGCGGGCGGGCGGACGGACGGGCGGACAGACGGACCGACAGTGCGGGACTCGGACCTCCGGGCTGGCGCCGCGGTGCGAGGCGGCGGGGTTAGCCACTTGCCTGCTGCCCGGTCGCCCGATCCCGCTCGCCCTCCCCGCCTCCTCCCTCCTTCCCTCCCTCCCTCCGCCGCCCCCCTCCCGGGACACATCTCCACCCCAAACTCCGGGCGGGAGGGCCGTGGAGAGGGAGGCGGTGCGGAGACGGTTTTTTACATCCTTGAGCCGGGCGATGAGGTGGGAAAGGAAAAGTGTTCTTTAATATTTGATTCCGGAACCGTGTTTTGGTTACACGATTGGGGCTCCTTGGAAAGGAGTCCTCCGCCCACCCTCTCCCCCCCCAAAAACAGCAGGTAGGTGCAGCCCGTCGCCGCCTCGGTGTTAAATGTACATGAAACGTGACTTAAGATTTCGGGCGCGTGGGGTCGCGCGGTCCGGAGTGCTGGCATGCATGTGTGTGCATCTCTGTCTGCTCCCAAACACAGAATGACTTGTGTTTCTTGAGATAGGGCGACTTCTTTTCGTGGAAGGGAAAACTGTTGGAAATTATTGGAGGGGCGGGGGGCTGGGGGGAGAGGAACAGAGTCGCTGAAAGGCGCTGTTTGTATTTTTTCTTGTACCCCACCCTGTTCTGCCTCGCATTTGTCTGAAAAAGCCGGCACCGGAGAGTGAGGAGTCACTGGGTGAGTGGAGGGGAGAATGCCGTTGGCGTTCGAGGTAACCGTTGTAAAGTTGAATGGTTTAAAAGTGATTGCTTTATGAAATTGCCCTGAAGCCTTAAAAACCCTCGTGTCTCTTACAGGGTGGAGTGATCTGAGATCCTGCAGCTTGTACAGCCCTCTGTGCCTTCCCTGCTTCCCTCCTTCCTTCCCTCCTTCTTTCCTGAAGTCCTTCCTTCCTTCCTTTTCTTGGCATTGTACATTTCTCTTCCTGGAGGGACATAATGCCTCCTGTGCCCGTTTGTTTAGTTTGTGCTAATCCGGTTGTGCTTTTTGTGGTGGTTTTGTGTGTGACATACATCTTGAGAGGAAAAGGACCTGCACTTGTTTTTGTTTTGCATTTAGCCACAGGTAATTGTCACAGCAAGGTTGCAGTGCTTTACGTGAAACTTAATTTTAAAACTAGTGCAACCGAGTTGGTAGAGCTAGCTGAATTATATTTATAAGTCGTTTTAGAAAATCTGAATTATGATTTTTTTTCCCTTCAAGTTTTAATTAGAGTTATAAAGGGAAGGGACTGCAACATGTTTCTCACAGTCTTTAATATTTAATAACATCACACGAGGAGAATTTAAGATAATCTGTACTTCCTTCAGTCTGAAATATAAATTTATCAATATCCCTTCTCAAGAGACTAGATTTTTAGTGTAATAGACTTTTAAATAACCAAAGGAATTGGCATAATTTCTCTTTAGACTGTTGAGAATTTAGTGTATTTACATAGTTGGCTGCAAACTTAAATCAGTTGTTGAACCTAGCAGTAAAAGACCTTAGATTCCATAAAACTGAAAGTCACATAGATACAGTATGCAATTTTATGGTATGTTTTATAACCTTCAAATTGAAATTCCTGCACTTGGTAGTTCTCACAGACAAGCTGACTGTACGCATGAGGTAGCATATATATTTAGATTGACCTGAATAGAAACAAAATTGATGTCTTCTAACTCTCAAATTTACAATACAAAATATGTTGATACAAAGTGGAGCCTTTAGTTTGTTATAGACTAGCATTTCCAGAATATTTTTGTTTTAACTTTCTATCTTAACCTGAAACATTACTTTGTAAAAACTAGAAAAAAATCCTAAATAACTACATAATAGAGTGTTTGTTTGTTTGTTTTGCTGAAAGGTATTCTGTTAGACATACAATATTAAAATGTTCAATAATTGTTTTAGAAATAAAACTAAAATGTTTATTGAGAGTTGGAACAAAATAACAGCATTTGCTCTTCTGCCTGCCCTTACCTCAGATTTTTCTTTTTGTTTTCTTCTATGAAAATGCAAAGTTATTGGGAAAGCTTTTATTGAACTTTCTCTAACAGTCCTGTTGAAAGTAAACCGGTTATATTCCTTGCATTCATTGGGGGTGATTCTGTTTCATTTTAAGCACTGAGCATTAAAATGATGTAAAGCTTTTACTGCAGACTAAAGCATAAAACGTTTTCAGCATGTGGAAGTCATATGGTTTACGGAAAAGGTAGAAAATCAGGGCATTGGTGCCTGCCAGTTTAAGATTTCATCCTGTAACTGCGAAAGATACGTTTATTTTAGTATGATTGCTTCTAAAAATGTTGCATGTGGTATGGAAAGTTGAAAATCCAAACTGTTTTTAACCAATCTGTTGCTACTTTGTATACTGTATTGTGAATACTGTGGCTGCAGATGTGCATCAAAGAACCTTTAGGGGTCAGCTTTCTGTTGAATATCTAGTGAGGCATCATTTTCACTGTGGTACTAACAGATTCCAGTCTTTTTAACACAATTCCTTGGCTGAAGCATCACTAATAAAAATTTAATAACAGTATTGGTAAATTACAAAATATATTGTAACAAATCTCTCCTTGGTTCATCATTTAAAAAATATTAGAAGTAGCTAATTTATGCCAATTTTGTGCTAGGTATTAATTGGAATGACATTGCTTATTTCAGTAGATATTGAACACATTGGGAATATTTATGTCAAATTCCTTCATTTTCGGTCTTTTATATATTATATTTAGTCTATCCACTTTTAATGTTTCCTGTAAAACCATGTTTGCTTTTTCTATTCATTTCATGGCAACTCTTGCTTCTCTTTATTTTTATATGCAGATCTTTAAACTTGAATTATTACTTTTGGGAATTAGACATTTATCCTCTGATGTCATTTTTCATAAATGTAAGGTGGTGTAACACTCAAATTTTTTAAAATGTCAGCATTTACAGATAAACTTAAAGATGCTTAATGAAAATTTGTTGGCTTTTGTTTGGTGAACCTGCTTTTTTTTAATGTTTTTTGGCTCCATAATTTTATAGCTCCCTTTACTATCAATATTTGGCTAGATTTTTCTTATAATCTCTGGCTTTTACTAATCAATTTAGGAGAACTTTAATTTCTAAACCAGTTGCTACGAGTGGAAATCCCTGCATGTCTGGAGTATTATATATGTACATTCTCATATGTACTCACAGTTACAAAACACCGTTATGTTTCCTCATACATGACATTGGTATATACCTATCGGACTTGTACGCCATGAAAAAGGAATCTGAGCCACAATAGTAGGAGAGTAAAGGGGCTCAAGTTAGAAATCAAAGTAACCATCACCAACCACATGCTGTCCATGATATGGAATCTAGGGAGATTTGCAGTATCATTGTAAACCGTTACTTTAATAGATTTTGCCAAAATCTAGTTCTCTCAAAATGGGATTTATTGGTATTGAAAATTTTCTCAAAATAATATTAAGTACTATGTTACTTAGATTAGTAAGTGTAGCTATCCCCCAAGTTGATCCTTACTGGACTTAGGGCCCATCATGGGGAGAGTATAACATTTTTTCCAAGTGATTATTTGACATAAAACTTTTAGCTAGAGTCTTTTTAAACATAATCCAATGCTTTAGATAACTTGTTTTTCTTGATCTTAGATGAAACAAGTTGGAAATTTACTATAACATTGTCTTGGA